AATGCGATGACTTACACTTCTGGTATACAGTCATTGACTAGTATAGGGGAGAATACGTCCCATACGATACACTCATGATCTAGTTAAAGAACGATAAAGGCCAACCTCGACATGTACGATGTGCGGCGTAATATACCCTACCACGTCTGAAAGTTGCATGAGATAGTCAGACACATCCAAAGCACTCTCCAGGCGCTCTCATTCGTACTACTATAATAACGAACTAGTTGAATTGGCTGTTGTGTAGTGGTTTATATCCTACCACGTTCGAATGTTACATGGATTTGTCAGGGACATCTGTTCTCATCCATACTACGTACAACAATAATATCTAATGAATGAAACACGTCTGGGTTGCGTAGTAGAGCGTTTTAAACCAGCGATATTTTCATAGCCTTCTAAATACACACTATGATATCTTGGCCCGTTATCCTAATCACAGGAGATCAGTGATTTTTAAGCGTCATCGATTTTCACGTGTTTGTTGTACTGTACGAACATTGTTTAAATTTCTATGCCGTTTAGGCTACGTATTAGAAATCACAACCTGCACGTACATGAACCACAGGCATTGCATTGGCATACAGCACACATCAACATTCGCAGATAAAGCTGCATACGGACAAAGACTATCTCCAAGCAGATGGCCACTTCCACTCCCGAGTCGACCCAGCCAGAAGGCGTAGTTGATGCGGCGTCAACAGATAACACCTCAACCGACACGAAGCTCGCACACACGCACAACATCGAAGATACAAACGACACGAAAGCAGGTACCAATAGCTGTGTGACTAAGATGGTGCCTGGGATAGCTTTGCAACGCAAGTTCCGCCATATGTACCGCAATGTGAACTGTTTGGCGCCAATGGTGAGGTGAGTACTTGATTTTGAGAGTATGACAGATGGGTCTTAGGAGTATTGACGTGTGTTGCATTGGCGCCTGATGCTGCTTGTGTTCTTTTCGTTCTGCATTGTATAACTGCATCTGCCTCTGTCAATGTACTAATTTGATGCCACCTTAGATAGATGTAATATAAGCTTCCTCTGATTGTATATGTTAGGGGTGTGCCATGTACATGTGATCTACAAAACTCGTCCTACCTGTATCTGTAGGTTTTGTACTGGTCCGTGATGTAAACAAGACAGATATGTCTGCTCCCCGCCATTACTCTAAACCCCACAGATGTTCTTTATAACAGTCTGCTGGAACGATCGACCTTCTCACATACCTGTGCATACGCCACTCTGTGGCCCTGAACAACCTTGCACTGAACCTATTTGGGCCCTATACAGTACCACAGTACCCTATGCAGTATCACAGTACCCTATACAGTACTACAGTACAGCCACACACCTGTGTACACTCCTCACAACACACGATAGCACTGGGCAGCATAGTCAACCCTTCACTTCACACGCACCTGCAGAGCCGGGACACTCCCGTTGCGCCTGCTGTGTCTGCGCCAAGGTGCCCATCTCGTGTACTCGGAAGAGCTCATTGACCACAGCCTGGTTCTGTGCACGCGCAAGGTGAATGCCGAATTTGACACCGTGGAGTATGTCATGCCGGGCACAGACAGTGTTATCTTCAGCACGTGTGCGGAGGAGAAGAAGGCTGTGATCCTGCAGCTGGGCACAGCCAACGCTGACCGAGCGGTACGTGCATGCATGCGTATGGGTGTAAGGATTGTTTGAGCTAGTTTAGCACTCTTTTGGTGTGTGGGTGTGTGTGAGTGAGTGTGTGTGTGTGAGAGAGAGAGAGAGAGACTATTTTGTTGTGCCTTTGAAAGCGATGATATTATTGCCTCGCGCTTAGTGGCATAGCACAGTGGGAGATTCTGAGCACACGTACCATGTATATACCTAGGCTACACGTACCATGTATATACCTAGGCTACATGTACCATACATACACCGAGGCTGCACGTACCATGTATATACCTAGGCTACACGTACCATGTATATACCGAGGCTACACGTACCATGTATATACCTAGGCTACACGTACCATGTATATATCTAGGCTACACGTACCATGTATATACCTAGGCTACACGTACCATGTATATACCGAGGCTACACGTACCATGTAGATACCTAGGCTACACGTACCATGTATATACCTAGGCTACACGTACTATATACCTAGGCTACACGTACCATGTATATACCTAGGCTACACGTACCATGTTTATACCTAGACTACACGTACCATGTATATACCGAGGCTACATGTACCATGTATATACCTAGGCTACACGTACCATGTATATACCGAGGCTACACGTACCATGTATATACCGAGGCTACACGTACCATGTATATACCTAGGCTACACGTACCATGTTTATACCGAGGCTACACGTGCCATGTATACACCTGGGCTTCCAGTAAACCGTGTGATGTAGGTGGCAACTGGGCGTACGTTGTCGATGCTTAAGCTCTTGGCTGCGTGTGGTCTTCTGTTTGCCTGTACCTAAGGCCCATGGCTATTGTACGACCAACATGGTCTGTGCGTGAGGTGTTGCGACCGGATTGTAGCGATGCATAATGCAAGGGGACTGGAGGGGGGTGGGAAGGGAGTCTTTCTCTTCTTCTGTGAGTATGTTCTAATATGAATGCACGAAGAAGTTTGTTCGGAGTGAGCATGCCAATGAATGTTTTAGTGGGACGTCGTGTCGGAACCTTAGCTGGCAGTGGGGCGTTCCCCAGCAAGCGCTTTGTTGCTGTCTGTGATGTAGCGGTGTGAAGTCTGGATGTGTGCACTTCCGAGTAGCTGTTTTAAACATACTGGCCGCATGGTACATACACAGACGGTATATACATACAGCTCTCCAGTTCTTACAGCCAATCAGTGTGTTCTGCACTGGTAGGTGCTTCTTGATCCGCAAGTCTGGTGTGGGGCATGCTGAGAATTAGTGCGTGTCTCCAAACACCTCCTACCACAAAGTCTCCCAGCCTTGAGGTCGAACGATGACCTGGCAGTCTATATTACGGAATACATTGTCGCATATACACACTCACAATTATATACACACATGTTACTTCCATACCCAAAAAGGGGGCATGTAAGGCTCTCTTGCATGCAACTGCGTATTCCACACTACATCGTGGTGCCCACTGACTTGTCTCAACACACATACACAGCGACATGTACACACAGACAATTAATAAAGCATATTAACATATACATATTATTTGTATTTCTGCCACACCAACCCGTCAAAACCAGGTCAAAGTAGCCATCATGATGCAGAATGACATTGCGGGTGTGGATGTGAATATGGGCTGCCCCAAACCCTACTCTGTGCTGGGCGGCATGGGCGCTGCGCTTCTCTCTAAGCCAGACACAATCAAAGAGCTGCTCACCAGGTGTGTGGACAGCTATGTGTGAAATGTACTTAGCTGTAGTATTAGTGTAGCACATGTATATGGGTGGTAATGATCTAGTGTGATATGATCTCAGGCAACATTGCTCGCACCGTAAGTCATCTCGTACCGAGTTATTGCCGGAGAAAACTTAGCACGATGTTCCATCATATACATGCCACCACATGAGTGAAGGAAGAGACTGTTGAACTTATTGCTAGTTTTCCGGAGCCACTCACTTGTCAAGTGATACTTTTATCGCCGCACTTGGGAAATCAATGCGCACAGTAAACCGCTCGTAAGCTCATCCTTCGAACGTCACCGGTTATAATGCTATGCAGTCACCCATTGAACTACTCAACGTTTTAGTATATGAACCGCTTTACAACACCATCACATACAATGAATTCAGTCATATGCATATCTCTATCTGAACAGTCTTGTTGCCGCGGTGAGTGTGCCCGTGACCTGCAAGATCCGTATCCTGGACACAGTTGAGCAGACGGTGGAACTCGTGAAGGTCATCGAGGCCACAGGCGTTGCAGCCGTGGGCATCCACGGACGCAGAATACCGCAACGACCGCGTGAACAGGTATGACTCTTTCTTGTATGAGCGACTAGTACTATGCTATGTATAGATATATGCATACATCCTCACTTCTACCGATCTATTAATCTGTGTACATACCGGATCATACATTCAGGGGTGTGTATTTAGAGTGCAGATTAGATAGCGTAAACCACTCAGACTGTTCATCATCTGTCTTGGATTGGCATTACGAGCATAAGAATTATTGTACTTTTCGGATGGTAGTTTTACACTTAGTTCGATAATTATATATTCAAATGGTATATATGTATACATCTATATTTATATATATATATATGAATATATGTATATATATATATATATATATATGTGTGTATATGACTACAAGCGCTTATGTCTTTAAAGTTATATATCAATTCATTCATGTGTACATACATGTAAGAAAGGAAATCGTCTCGTATTCATTCGAACCATAACGTGCTCGTTTTTCCTTACTGGGTGATGGTGTTACACATCATTAGCAATATGTAATGTCTATCGCACTTTCGTGCCGTGTACTATTCTCCAGTTGTTTATGTTGTTTTGCTTTCGCAACTTATTCGGAATGCTTATAATTTTGCTGTAAACTGAGCTCCGCCACCATCTCTTCTACAGTCCCGGGACGAGAAAATGTCTACTGAATTATTTTTTTATTACATAGCTATATACTTCTATACACCCTTTAAGTCGAGTTCGTTCACCACTGTGACGGCAATGATATTTTAAACGGTTTCCAGTAGGATACGCCTGAAAGCATACTAAAAGGAAAAACTATCTTGCACCGAACATACCCCTCAGGCAAATTACGAACATATAAAAGCGGTACGTGCCGCTATTGACAGTGACTTTCCCATCATAGCCAACGGCGGGTCTCTCGATTATGTCCACAACAGTCCGCATTTAGTTGACTTCCGTGAGGCGAGTGGCTGTGATTCGATCATGATGGCACGCGCCGCCCAATGGAACCCGGCGCTTTTCAAGGATGGGCAGGTAGGCGTACGTTTACTTGGCTCTATATATGTGCGTTTATATCTAAGTCTATATATGTGCGTTTTTATCTAAGTCTATATATGTGCGTTTTTATCTAAGTCTATATATATGAGTTTATATCTAAGTCTATATATATGCGTTTATATCTAAGTCTATATATGTGCGTTTGTATCTAAGTATGCGTTGAATGGAGTACTGCGCATAGACACTAATGTTATATAAATAGTGGCCGTTATATAAATAAGTTCGTAAGGTGCTGACCGATCATAATTTGCGAACAAATACTTTGTTGACCATTCACTGCACACCGTTGTGCTAGTGGGGTTGTTAACCATTCACTGTACACCGTTGTGCTAGTGATGAGCATTATGTGTTCAGAATTTGATCTCGCTGTAAGCTCCTTTGATAGTCCTAATTAGATTCCGCTCTGGCGTGCGCATCATCTACACAGGAATCACACAAGGTACTATACACCAAACATTGGTAAGCTTTCAACCAGGCCAAGCACTACTCTGGTTTGTGTTTAATCAGTTATTTACGTTCGCACACACCGAGCTGCCTCGCAGGGAGAATCATACACACTGCCTGCGCTCCTATATTCAAGATTTGATGTGTATAAGGACATAATGTGTAAGCTATCGAACCATTCGATTTCAATCTAAATCCGTGCACGTTCGTTAATTCAAATCACAGGTAAAACACGTTTGCAAACGGGAACTATCGGAGCAGTATCTAAAGATCGCGATGGAACACGGACATGTGTTTGAGAATGCCAAGTGGAATGTGATGAATCTACTCCACTTTGACAAAGATCCAAAGAGGTAATGATGCAATTTGAACTGTTTTCATTCAGTATATATATCACCCGCAAAGGATGATATCCGTGAATTCATTCATCCCAGAAAAACATTATCATATTGCATGCGTAGTATTATAAAATGTGTATGTTGTTGTTCATAGCAACTTTGCTTGTAGGATGGATCTATCGTTCAGTTTTGGTACAATTAAAGGACTCACAGGTATTGTTGGGTAGAGAGCTGTACACTAGGCCCTGTGCGGATCCATTTATCATTGAATGAAGGACGACACTTCCACATCATGGAGGTCTTACCGAGCACCGACAATGCACACATAGATACTCTGGGTGGTATTTATTTTGTTCGAGTATCTCACTAAGCCTCTGTTGGATTCAATTCCTATATATAGAGCCAGAGGTGTGTCGGCCGCACGAGGCTACCAGGAGATCTGTACCGTGCTTGGCTGCGAAGCTGTCTACAAATCCATCCCTGCACACAAACTGGCCAAGATAGGCAGGAAACGGCCCTTGGCATTGAGTGCCGAGGATGTACAGGAACACAAGGCCAAGAAACTTAAGGAGGGCATCATCGCAAGCGAAGATTCCTATGTGCGGAAGGAGTGGGCTAAGAATCTCCGTCCGAAATTGGTATGTGGTTTTTCAAATGACGAACGATTTAGGGTTTAGGGTTGAGGCTTTAGGGTATTTGCGTATATATACATCTGTGGGGTTGCAAAGTGCTACACTCCGCGTTATGATACTAGAATACGGAGACACCACAGACTGAACGAGGGCTAAACGGATGGATGAAGCACTATATAATGTATACACTGTATTGTATGAATGTACTGTTTTTGAGCTGATGACGAACCCTTACACAAAATTAGGCGTATGCTTTTTCAGCCATTACTCGTATAAATGTTAGCGCAAATTTATAAATGGCTTCTACGGTCGTATCTTGTTCTTATATATGAGTAACTATCGTCGCCGCCAACCTCAGGCGTATGGTTCTAATGTGCAACTACCAAACTTATTCAACTCCAGGTGGTGACTGAATGGCTGCGAAAGAATCAGCTTGCGCCTATTGCTGTAACACACGTAGAGCAAGAGGGAAAGCGTGGCTTCCAGTCGGTTGTAACCGTGGATGGTATGTTGTTCTTCGCATCTAACGAGTTCGACCGTTTCCAAAAACATTGCTACCCTACTGCTTCACGCGTGCAACAGCTTCTTTATTCTCGTGTATATATCAGCAAGCAAGGAAGAAATAATGCACAACATGAAATCTGTTGTGTTCTCGATATTCATATGCATTTGTGTGATATTGTGTTACGGCGTGGTTTATTATCCAGACACTATAAGGAATACCATATCTTCTCAATCTATTTTTCAATTGTGTGCTTTGGCTTATTTCCTATATTCCCCTTGCATGGACAGGTAAAAAGTACACATCGCTGCGCTTCAGCTCAAACAAAAAGGATGCAGAACATGCCGCATGCGTGGTTGCTATAGAAGCACTTAATATCCCACATGAGCGCTTAAGAATTGATACCAACCCGGAAGCTAGAACAAACGCAGTCAAAGGGGTTTCTGTTCCATCTGTAGTTGAGGAGGCCGCAGAAAGTTGATAATAAATCATGTAAATTATTAAGCGTCAAGCACATGTGGTCTCAGATCGAGTAGAGGAACCAACCCCGTATACACTTGATCCTTTTTTCGATGATCCATATCAAATCTTTAATATATTGATCTATAGAAATGTCCAATTCCAGAAGCTTCTTGTCCAATCTTGATAAAGGAATACATCATCACGGAACCACATGCAATAGAAAAAGCACCATTGAAGACACTCCAGCGGTAGGTGTGGCCGTCAAAGACTCCGCCACTCATGTGCGTGCCACCAAGACTGCTTTATTAATCAGCACTACTATACGATCAACACTGAGATACGGTGCTGTGGACAGTACAACGCCTCTAACGGCGAACGTGCCTGATAATTACTAAAGTAACGACTTTGTACCGTACGCACATACAAGGTCTGGCATGGTCTGTACACTTATGCGGTTCCGACAGGCATTGCGTTGGCCTCTTTGCATTCCTTGTCCTTCATACCATCCTCCACGGCAGCGGGTAGGTCTTTTCCCACAAACACAATCCCCACCTGAGCCAACCGGTCCTGCAACTGATTGCACTCTTTATCGACTACCATCTTTGCAACCATACCCCATCTCTCTCTTTCGGCGTCTAGTATCTCAATCGGAAACGTGTCGAAGCAATACACAGCTATATCCTCCACGCCTTTGTCGTAGTGCGTGGATATGCGCTCGCACAAAAGTAGCATGTAGCTGCCGTCGTGTGTCTTGCTATTGATCTTACCCCCAGCGCCAACCAGTGCTTTTATGATGTTCTTCTGTGATTTGAGGTTTACTTTTTTGTAGACCGTGCTCTGACACAGCAGCGCACTACCCAGGGGTGTGATCTGTGGATCGAGAGAATAGTACAATGAAGGATGCGATAATTAGTACCGATAGTATGGTGATAATCTTGACACTTTGGTCGATACACTCCTGAGGATACTTGAGAGACTCCTTGAAACCCGTGTACCATGTCGAATATGCGAGCCATCCCTAAGATCCACTGAAAATTATGGATATGTTGATTCGACAAAATTAACGACTAATTTGAATTTATGCGCTAAGCTATACGAAACTGTGGACTGCCCAAAACAATATGTAGTCATGTGTGCTCCATTGGTGTTCTGGAGTGGGTGGATACTAGTTATAGTATACTATTCTTCGACATAAAATAGTGTGCATATATCCCACTACCTGTTAAATCAAGGCATGGCATATACGAGTGTGGGCGATGGATTGAGAAAGTGTTGATATGATAAAGCACAAAGTTGCACCTGTTCGCTATGAGCCGAAAAGTAGGATGAACAGACAGGCCGTGACCTTGCAACAATAGGCTTGCGATGGGCATGCGATGGGTGTCACAGTAGAGAGGAGGCACAAGTAGTAATATGCGATCACGTCGATATAGGCAATTGTGCTCGACGATCGAAATGTCCGCCGATCTTGGCGATTACCAGGATATGTTCTGAGTGTGTGTCATGATCACATACCGAACCAGCCGTACCCTTTGATTTATTTTTATCCTTTGTGTCCAACATGCCAACTTCGGGGTCTGCACCTCGTTCTACCAGTAGTGCACACATCTCCTCTTGTCCATATTCGGCTGCTAAATGCAGCGCGGTTGAACCCTGATGAAAAGTAGACAATGAGTGATCTGATATACTATATATAACTATATATATGTGTGTGTGTGTGTATATATATATATATATATATATATATATATATATATATATAATAAATATATATATATATATATATATATATATATATATATATATATATATATATATATATATATATATATA